AGCGAATCCTCTGGTACATAAACAATATTTTGTAAACACAATTAGGTGTATTCCACTCGAAAGAGAAGGCGTTCCTCACTCTAGAAAAAGAGAGAGCGAATACCTTCCACTTATGGATAGTAAATGCCTTCTTCTTCGTGCGCAAAACAGCCTCTGCAAGAAGTCAATTTGAAATGAAAGTTATTGTTTGTTTACATCCGAGAGCAAATTTTGTAAAATACAAAAATGGAAATTAGCGCTAAAGGTTCAGAAATGTATGTAGGCATTTGTTAATTTTATTAGCTATAAAGCCATAAAAGGTGATTACACATAAAATCATTGTTTAGAACTGAATTGTTGATTCCGGACATGAAAAGTGGATTTTTGCGTTCCTCGCGCTCTGAGCACTTTTGGCGCGGATTGACACATTTTTGACGCTTGTGAGAGAGTAACTTATTTTTACGCTCTAATTACCGAAACAACCCGGAAAAAACGTAGAACAAACCTATTACTGACATTGCCAAATTGACAGTTTAACAGGGTGGTTCAGATGAATATTTGGGAACAAATTATAATTCGTTTTATAGCCAAGAGATGTCGCACTAAATTTAAATGGTTGTAAATCAAACAAAGCAAAACAAGCCAAAACCAAATGCGTTTGATGTAAAATATCCATAACTATCACGATTGAAAGAAGTAGAGATTACAGGAATGACCAAATAACAATTTAACTATTTATGCGTTAATATTTTTGCGTAGTTTTATACAATATTGAAACATTACAAAGCAAAATGAAGTGTTCAGTGGCAAATTGTAAAAGTGAAAACAAAAGGAAAGCCTGCGATATAAGTTTTTTTTTATTTCCCACGGACGCAAAACTGGCGAAAAAGTGGGAGCAGTTCTGNGCAAATGCCTTAGGTTTTGCCAAAAATCGTCGTTTAAAGCGGGGTGCAGTGCCCACCATTTACGCAGCTAATGAGGTGGATTCCCAGCGTACGGAAAGAGCTCAGCACAGAGAAAACAAAAGAATCGTAAGCGAGTTACTTCAGCAGAGTGAGACTGCCGCTGTCACTGAAAGTAGCAATTTGCATTTATATCAAGTTTTGAATTATACTGTAGCTAAGTTTTTATAGCCGTTGTGAGTGACACTGTTAACGTAGATGTGACTGATGAAAGTCTGAATAGTAAGGAAAATAGCCTTATGGAAGAAAATATTTGCGATATAGCTGATGTAGATATAACTGATGAAAGTCTGAATAGTAAGGAAACTAGCCTTATGGAAGAAAATGTTTGCGATATTTCCACGACGCGGGAAGTAGAAGAAATGGAACCAAAACTGTAAGTTAATAAAAGTAATACAACACTAAAAGTTTTGGTTTATTGAGTTAAAATTTTTCTTTTTATTACACACATATAGAGAAGCATTAAAGCGAGAAAAT